TGTATTCCTGCCATCTTCTCTTGATGTTTCCTGCATCATTCAATATTTTGCCCATAGAATATCTCTCACTTAGTTAGACACAAATTACAATTGATTAACCATCAAGACACTTTTCAGTCTTGTCGGTCCGGAGTGTCCTTGGGGTTGCTGGAAAGCAGAACGTGTTCTTAAGCCCCAGGAATCCGTAAGAGTGCTGTCTCTTTAAATATCCAAAATAGTCAAGCCACTTTTTAAACCTTCAAAATGGCGGGGCCCTCCAACCCATCAGAAGTCCACAGCTTAGCCCACCTTTCTCTTCACCTTCTCTGTTTATTCCCCAGCCACCGTGGACAGTCCTCCATGCATTCCCTGGCTAGCAGGGTGATTTTTAGGTTAATTCTTAGGGCCTACCACCACTCGGGAATCTCCAAGCTGTCTGTTCCATCAGGATTGCTCAGGATCGCTGCCAGACCGCAGCTCCGTATGTCTCGTTTTTTGGTATTTTCACGCAAATTCTTCTGCTAGTTGGGGTTTAGTCCACTTCTGTATCCTTCCCTTCAAGGCTCAGGGGTCCAGGATTATCTTCTGTGTCTGTGTTAATTCATTTCCCTTTTCTTTGTTGAAGAGGGTATGTGCAGTCCTTCTGCCTAGTCCACCATCTTGCTGGAACCAAGGGAAAATAGACCCCAGCATGGCCTGACCCTCAAGCCTCCCTTGCCTGCACCGCTGGGCTGCCTACCTGTCCAGCCTCAGACACCACCAATCAGAGTCTCTTCTGACATTCATTTTGATCTTCTTCCTTTCTTGTCTTTTTAATGACCTTTTGCTTTGTTCATGTATGATGTTCTTGATGTCATCCCACCATCCATCTAGTTTTTGGTCATTGGTGTTCTGTGTTTAACATCTGTTCTTTGGATAGTCTCTAAATTCAGGTGGCATATAATCAAGGTGTCATATTTTGGCTCTTATGGACTTATTTTGTCTTCAGGTTCAGCTTGAACTTGCATATGAGCAATTGATGGTCTGTTTCACATTCAGGTCCTAGCCTTGTTTTAGGTAAAGATAGTGAGCTTCTCTCTTGTCTCTTTCCACAGATGTAGTCAGTCTTGTTCCTGTGCATTCCATGTGGTGAGGTTCACATGCATAACTGCCATTTATGTTGTTGAAAAAGTGTATTTGTAATGAATAACTCGTTGGTCTTACAAAATTCTATCATGTAGTCTCCAGTGTCATTCCTTCCAGTAAGGCCATATTTTCCAACTTCCATGGATTCTTCGATTCCAGCTTTCACATTCCAGTGGCCAATAATTATCAATACATCTTAATTAGTCAATTTCAGACTTCAGAATTTGGTAAAATATTCAATTTCTTCATCTTTGGCTTTAGTTGTTGGTGCATAAATTTGAATAATAGTGATTGTGTTAGGCTGGGTTCTCTAGAGAAGCAAAACCGGTAAAGCTTATATATACATATGTTGTTGTTGTGGTTGTTATGTGCTGTTGAGTCAAACCCGACTCATAGCGACCCCTCCTTGGGTTTCCAAGGCAGTATCACTACGGAAGTAGGATTGCCCAACCTTCCTTCCGAGGAGTGACTGGTGGGTT